TAAAGGACCGAACACAAATATGCGACTCGTTAACTAGAACGAAATGCAGTGCATGGAACCGGTCAACGCAATCACTCAAGCGCAGTCTTAAGCCACGACGGTTATTGCGCGTATTGAAGCACATAAGTGTTCAGATATGACATCAGACAAGCATTACACAAGCTTAGCCAGACACAAACGACAAGGAAGAAAAGCGATGGGGGAGCAGAGAAGAAAACAAGACGAATTGGATCAAATCCGAGCACAGGACACGTCGTTTCAAAAATAACAATAGTGAAGTACACGACGTGAGGCGGCGCGACCCGACGCCGCGTTTCGACCAGTCGCCAGCTGGTCTTAACCGGTCCACTGCACGTGCTCCTTCCAACGCACATCTATTGATCGCGAACTACATCCAACATAGGTATGCTTGCACCAAGGTGAAACGAGGATATATACTACTGGGCTTGGACAACTGGAGAAGTCATATCCGAAAGACGCTAGAGCAGAAAGGTATGGAGAATACTTGACAGCCCAGAGAATCGCCGAAGAGAGAATAAGTAGAATTACCAAACTATGGAAGAGCTTATTCAGATAGATGTTACTCTGCCCAGCCTTATAATTCCTTAACTTACGAACATCAGAAAGTATAGAGTAAATCCGTCTGGCGCTCGGAGCCGAATCTACGAGGATTCCGAGTTCAAGGATGCATCAGCGGACACACCAGCAACGTCCACGGAGTCATCCCCATCCAGATCACCATCCACGTGTTCCTCTCGCTCATCGTCACTAATCAACCGCCGGTTGGTTGGTCGAGCAAAGGCTCTGTTTGTGTAGATATCCGCTAGATCTGCCGCAGTCTTCTTAACACCGACATAGTCGATCTCCTCTTCCGTGCACAACTTTTCGAGTTGTCCTTTCCGGAGATTGCCGAGATCATTGCACACTGTCTTATAGAAGGCGTCTCGCTCCTCGCGAACCTTCCTTACGAATGTAACCCTCACTTGATCGCCATTCTTGGATCCGAGACTATTTTAACGAAAAATAAAATATTCCCTCGAACACGTTCACGAGTTGTTCGTGGAAATACGCGAATTTGGAGGGGCACGAACATGTTCACCGTGCTACCCAGGTAATACTATTTTATTCTCAAATTTTCTTAGGCAGTGTACTTGCAGTTTAGGTCTTAGGCTTGTTTTTTACCAAACCAAAGTTCTAACATAATAAGTCGATCTTGGAGTCTCTACAAAGGTTTCGAAAAATCATTAGGGTTGTAAACTTGATCTATTCATGAAAGCATTTAAGGTTCATCTGACCCTCATGTAAAATTTGGTCGCATAAGATCAAAGCATCTATGTTGTTGGAGGAGACAGTTGAAGGTATGCCCAACTAAATCAATGTTTTGAAGAATATTGTTTTCTCTAATGACCATTCATTTTGTCTTGTATTGCTTAAGGTTTGATTACTGATTGATCGTTAGCATTGAAGGAAGTCAAACAAGAGAAACGTAAAACTTTTAAATTGAGGTACGATTTAACCAGGGGTATTCAAAGATTTGTCTATGCAAGCTAAGCTGGGTAATGCTCCCAGTGAATTTCTTAACTTGGTTGTTTGTGATGTCACTCACCTTTCTACGACTGTTCCGATAGTAAAAACTAAGATTTGTTATTAGAAAAATGGACTAAACCAGTGGGTCACACCCAAAAAAACTTTAAATATTGATACAAATTATAATCAAGATAAAACTAGATTCATAAAATTAAATAATTCTGAATTATCTGGTGCTAAGATCATTAGCAGCAGTTGACTCTCTTGAAGATGAATTTTTAAGTATGTGTGGCTTCAATTGACAACCACACACCGTCGATCAACTAGGGTTCGATGTTTTCAAGAGATCAACAAAAATATAAAAGTTTTGATTGTGTACGCTACGAGCTTTCGTCCTTTTTCGTTTGCTTAAATTTGAAATCACTATAGCAAGTTTCAAATTTTACATTTAAAGGGGGGCAAGGGGCAAATTCGAGACACTTCTGCAGTAATCTGTGTATACAGAGCAACAAAAAAAACTTACAAAGTGGTGTGAACTTTCAAAAATCTATAATGGTTTTGCAGTAAAAACCTTCAGAGAATCCGACTCATTGGCTGAATGAAGCGCATAGTCGAAAGAAAAGATGATGAATTAGAAAAACTTCATTGACTCTCAACCCATTGGTTGATAGGAGTACCAAAAGCCGATTTTTCTTACTTTTTTTTCTAAACATCGTGTTGGAAAACCTCTATTTAGGCGGTAGCGAGAGAATCATCTAGATTGAGGGTCAGAATCCGGATGACTCCAGTCTATTAGTGGGTAGTTATACCTTGAAAACGGATATAGTATACCAATATTATGAAATTAAATGTTAGTCGATTATATTAGGTTCATCAAACAATTTAAAAAATCAAATGAATACTTGGGGAAAAGTCAATCTCTGTAGCCTTGCTAGAGCCTGCCAACTATCCTTATTGAACTTCTTGCCAACTCATTTTTTTATGTATTACACTGGGTCTCTTATACCCCCTTAAACCAAGCAAGTTTCACAATGTTATTGCGGTATATTGCCTAAGGGAGGGAACACATCTAAGAACGTCGTGTTTACCCCATTTGGAAAGAATAATCAATGTTGGTCCACTCAGCAAAATGCAAATCTTTCCCCTAAGATGTTGATACCACCCTCTTCACCCTTCAAATTTTTGTGGGTACTTAATTATTAAGCCATATGTAACAAAACTCTTTGATTTTAGACTGTGTTTTCATATATGTCACTTAAAACTTTGATGTTAGTCAGTGCGAGTTGGATGTAGGTTGTGTGTCCTATCAACGGGCAACGGGTTTTGTACAACACCGTTGTACCCGTTGTACACCCTCGGGGTCCCCGTTGAATCCTCGTTGAACGGTGCAACGGAGGCTTTCCATTGAATACCGATCAACGGGTCGAGCATAATGGGCCTCGGACACGTGGCAGGACACGTGTGGAAAAAAAAAGTAAAAAAACTACCCTGTGTGTGTGTGTGTGTATGTGTGTGTGACTGGGTGGGGGT